ACATATAATATATATATTATATATATATATATATATATATATATATACATATATATATATATATATATATATATATATATATATATATATATATATATATATATATATATATATATATACATATTATATATATATATATATATATATATATATATATATATATATATATATATATATATATATTTATATATATATATATATATATTATATATATATAATATATATATATATATATATATATATATATACTATATATATATATATATATATATATATATATATATATTATATATATATATATATATATATATATATAACACACATATACACAAGCGAAGTACACATTTTGTGTTATGGAACCAAAAAAAAATAATAGGACACCAGAGAATAGGACGAAAATTCAGGGAAACTGAGGAGACTGGTCTGGAAAAATAGAATGGATAGAAGAGCTAAGGAGAGGGATGGAAGAAAGGCAAAGGAACATAGAGGAGCTTACCCATAAAACTGAGGAAAGTATGGCTGCAGAGAGTAAGAATTTGGATCTGCAGGCAGAAGCTGCAGAGGTCAGGGTACAGAGACTAGAAGACTAACCAAGAAACTTGAAGCAGGATATAGAGCCAATGAACAGAAGGAGTTTGGGATCAGGAGCAGGTATATCATTATCCAGTGAGGGGACCGATGTAAAGGAAAGGGAAAAGACTAATATTGAAGCCCATCAGGCCACAAAGAGCTCCAGGAAATGTCAAGGAAAGAATGTGGCATACCATTGGGCACAGAGACAACAGTGAGGGGATTGTAGGTAGGGATGGTGATAAGTCCCCTGCAGAAGCGATATAAGGGCTCTGAGAGGTCCAGGACATGATAAAGGAAGCAGTAATGGTGATGGTTAATTCAGGTCCTGGAATGCAGAGGGAGAAGCAATGGGAAGAGGGTAAGGAGAGGTCAGTTTCTTCCATGGGCTTCAGGAGCCAAAGAGAGGACACATAAAAGACGACAGGTAGAGATAAAAGAGACTGAACATATCTTCAAACAAACAAGAGAGGAGGTCATGACAGAGCTAATATATTTTGGGGGATTCTCGAGGAGAAAAATCGACCAGTCAAACTGATTTTCAGGACAGAAACAGTGCAAAACAGGATCCTGCAGCAGAAACCATGGATAAAGGAAACAATATACAAGTGGGAATGCCACAATTGATACAGAATGCATACAGAATGACAGAAACTGTGAAAGAGGATACAAAGATGCAAGGGGTAAGAAACAGAGACGATTCTAGACACCAAAATAATACCCCAAAAGAATCCACACTCTGTACCAACAGACCCCAACCCCCAGCACAAACCTCACCTACACAGCAGCCTCCCCTAGTAAAATGCCATTTCTGTCACTTCCCCAGCCATCACAAACACTCCAGAATACAGTTCTGGAAAAGAAACTGAAAGTATATACTACACAAACACAGATGGAATAATGGATAAGTGTGAGGAATAGGATGAAAGAACCATGGAAACATCCACAGACATCATAGCACTTACGAAAACCAAGCTCACGGGAATGATAATATGTGCGCTCTTTCCAACCGGATATCAGATCATAAGGAAAGATAAAGACAGAACAGAAAGGAAGGAGGAGTTGCATTGTTCATCCAAAATCAGTGGAGTTTTGAGGAGCTGGAAGGAGGGAACAGAGGGGAAGCAAGGATCAACATAGTAATAACACTTCAGACTGGGCGTCCCAAGAATGTGATTGCAGTGATGTACAATCTGACACTGAATAGCAGGAGGCCAAGACGAGTACGATGAGAGCAACAGAGCAATGATTGATACACTGGTTGAGGTTGCCAGAAGGGCACACAAGGGCAGGGCAAAGTTACTGATTGTGGGTGACTTCAGTTACAAGGAAATTGGAAAACCTGGAGCCATACGGAGTACCAGAAATGTGGTACTGGAAACCCTCATGCATCAACATGTTAGGGACACTACCAGAGAGAGAGGAGAGGATGCACCAGCAACGTTAGACCTCATATTCACCTTCAGTTGTTAAGACATTGGGACATCTCATACGAAAGGCCCCTCAGAGATAGAGAACAAGTGGTCCTGAGCTCTGAATACATTGTATAGCTATAAGTGGAGAGGGAAGCAACATGAGTAGGAAGCATAAGCCAAACTACACAGGTATGAGGAATTTCCTACATAAGGTTCAGTGGGAAAGAGAACTTGAGGAAAAAAACATTAAATGAAATGATGGAATACGTGACCACAAAATGCAAGGTGAAGACGAGATATCCAAGAGCAACAGAAACAACGGGAAGACCAGAACGAGACCAAACACCTATCCAAACACGCCAGGAAATTAGAGAAAGTGCAAAGATTTGTAACGAGACTAGTCCCGGAGCCTTGCCTTAAGGGGCATGTCATACGAGGAGAGGTTAAGGGAAATCGACCTGATGACACTGGAGGACAGGAGAGTTAGGGGGGATATGATAACGATATATAAAATACTAAGAGGAATCGACAAGGTGGACTGAGATAGGATGTTCCAGAGATGGGACAAAGCAACAAGGGATCACAATTAGAAGTTACTGAGTCAATTGAGTCACAGGGATATTAAGAAGTATTTCTTCATTCATAGATTTGTCAGGAAGTGGAATAGTCTGGAAAGTGATGTAGTGGAGACAGGATCCTTACATAGCTTTACGAAAAGGTATGATAAAGCTATTGGAGCAGAGAGTGACCTAGTAGCGACCAGTGAAGAGGCGGGGTCAGGCTCTATTTCTCGACCCCTGCAACCGCAATTAGGTGAGTATACACACACAACGCGCGCGCGCTCACAACCCGCCGTCACAAACGCACACCCTCAAGCACCCCCCTCCCCACACACACAAACACATACATACACACACACACAAACACATACACACACACACACGCAGTTGCAGATGAAATTATAGAACCCCTTTGTTGAAAAGTGACGAGATGCAGAGAACTTCCTATTCAGAAGAGATTTGGAAAAAGCAAAGACAATGAGAGTGCTATGTTCAACCAGAGATGCAGAGAGGAAAGAAAGAGAATCACAAATGCGTGAAAAGACTGTAGAAAGCAAAGGACATACGACAACAAAGAAGATAGCCATTTCGCCGGAAACAAATAATGGAAGGTGATGTAAAAAGCTGAGTACAATTTGAGAATGACATAAAGCAGGGTCCAAGTCTGAATCAAAACTTCTCCACAGTTACATCAGAAGAAAGTCAACAGTACAATACTAGGTAATTTGGCCGAAAAAGGAAGGAGAATTAGCGAAAAATAACAAGGAAGTCAAAGGAGCATTGATTATACGATTTAGTTAATTAAAGAGGTCTTTTCAGAGGAAACAAAGGCAAACACCAACAGGCCTAAGAAACAGGGTGAAATGACCGGCACTAAACACCATTCACACAACATGAGAGATAGAGAAACTTTCGATATACCTTGTTCCATGAAAGGCGATTGGACATTACAAAGTGTCACTTCTGATTCGGCGAGAGGGAGCAGAAGCAATGTCTCAACCTACGAAAAGTCACTGGATATGTCACAGTTTCCAGAGACCTGGAAGACAGCAAATGTAGTACCTATACTCAAGAAAGGAGTCAAGAAGCATTGAACAATAAACAAATTTTTGTGACATGCATACCGTGCAAGATAATGGAGAAGGTTATCAGAGGGAGAGTGTGAGAACACTTGGAGAGACGTGGTCTCATAAATATTAACTATCATGGGTTAAGAGATGGCTTGTCTGGTCTTACCAAGACAATGTTACAGATCTGAGACAGGAAAGCGAAGGATGGGTGGATTTCATTTTATTTTATCCTACGCAAAGATATTTAATACTGTATCCCACAGGAGAATGGGGCCGAATATAAGAAGTAGGCTGGAATAACATTGAATATACAGTCTAGGATGTAAAAGTACATTAAGAAAAAGAAGTAAGGAGTAATTGTCAGAGAAGAGACATCAGATAGGTGAATGTAACTAGCAGGCTCTGCAAGGTTCCATATTAGGGCGAATAATAGAACCGGCACTGTTTTCTGTATACGTATACGAGAAGACGAAGGTGATTGAGTAAAAAATATCCCTGTTCATAGACGTGAAACTCATGTGGAGAATACAAATAGGTGGAATTAAGGAAAGAAAGTTTTGAAAAATGGGCACAGCAAAAGAAAAAAAAATCATAAAGTACATGCTCTGGATGGGGGGAAGGATGTCAGGGTGAAAGGCAAGGGCTGCGAATCTCGCTCAAGGAGGACCTGGGGGTGAATAGTATGCTGAGTATATCGCCTGAGGTGAATATCAACTGAATGGCTGCTGCAGCAAATGCGCGTCTGGCAAATCTAAGACTACCTTTCGGAAACTTAAGCAAGGCATCATAAACGACGCTGTATACGGCATATACCAGGCCCATATTGGAGTATGTAGTACTAGTATGGAACCCACACCTGGTCAAGCACATTAAGAAACTGGACAGACGTTTGCAACGAGACTAGTCCCGTAGCTAACGAGCATCTCCTATAAAGAGAGAAAAAAAGACTACTGGTGATGCAATAACAATTTACAAAATACTCAGAGGAATTAACTGAGTGGACAAAGACAAATTTTCGATATTTGGGAAGTAGAAACACGAGGGTACATATGAAAGTTGAAAACACAGATGAATTACAAGGATGTTAAGAGGTATTTCTTCAGTCTTAGAGTAGTTAGGAAGTAGAACAACTTGGACAGTGGAATAGTAGAGGCATGATCAATACATAACTTTAAGGAGAGGTAAGGTAAGGCTCTTGATGACCGCAGAGAGTGAATCCATAAGCGTTCATCGCTTAGGCGAATGTAGGAGTTGCAACCACATATAGGTGAGTACACACACACACACACACACACACACACACATAGCAACCATCAAAATAATGCAATAACATCTAAGTAAACATGCAATAGATTAAAAAATTTTCTTTTTCTGTCACCTTTCAGCTGGGCCGCTATTCATTGCTGACGTGGTTCAGGGAGGTCGAGCGGAGATGCCGTGCGACGTGGCCACAGCACAAGCTAGCGACCGTGTTGTTCTCGTACTCTGGTACAAGGACGGCCTCGGGGCTCCTATTTACAGGTACATGGCAACTTCTTGAAATTAGGCTCCGGTAACAATGGATTAAGTTCGTAAACACACAAGTTGAACAACGAACTTTTAATCCAACAACGTTTCGCTCTGCGTAGAGCGAAAACTTGTCACAATAAAAGCCTGTTTTGTAACTTGTCATTGTCCTCACACATGTTAGCAGTCAGCTTTTTGGCCCAGTAAATCAGCTTCGTGAGTTGAGATCAATGAATTAGAAAAAGCGTTACAGCTATTTCCTCTTTTAACTGCTTAATACAAAATATTTTACGCTCAATGATAATCCACACGAATATAGATTCTCAGAAGAGGATCGCAGAAGGGGATCGAGGTTTACAGACCAGTCAATCTTATGGGTTTCTGTCTCCATGTGAGTTATTATCGAGCATTGACAAGAGTTCATTATATTTTAGTTATTCATAATATCTCATCATCATTATCAAAGCGCTGTCGTCATTACATATCATGAATTATCTTTAGACCTTTCTATTATCTACAGTTAGAGTTGCTGCTCCCTTAACTAATTTACCCACAATTTCACAATGACAATATAAAAAATATAATTCCAATCGCATTAGTTGCTCTCCAAGCCATGTCCATAATTCATTACGATTAATAGGCTTTAATCAAGGCCAAACCGTGACAAATTATGAAATCTGTCCGGTTTTATGCCCGAAAAAAAAAAATCTCTGCGATATGTTAAAAGCCCGAGTTGGCTACACATATCTTGCCACGTTGACGATGGTATGAAAGGTCTGTTTACTAATTGGCCCCCCTAAATCTATGTACGTCGTTCCTACCAAGATTTCGTGGCTGCGCAAATGTTTACATCAAACGATACCCCCGGCCGGGATTGAACCCGCGGTCACAGTCTCAAAACTAGCTAGCTGGTCTAGTGGCTAGCGCGACGGGCTGGAGTTTTGAGACTCTATGACCGCGGGTTCAATCCCGGCCGGGGGTATGGTTTATTTGCAATCGTGTCATTACGATTTCTTGAGTCATGTTTACATCAAGTACCAACTAACCCACGAAAATAAAAAAAACAACTAGGCTGCGCTTTGCTCCTTCATGGACAATGAAAAAGTCATCTTGCTGCCATTTCTTATGTATTGATTATTTTGAAATTGTCCATTCATTGTATTTCCACTTATTCCTCGTCATTAATATTGTATTACTAGAAGAAGTTAGTAAAAGATACCGAGGATGAACTAGGCAAAGTGTCCGTCTAGCCAATAGTGAACGTACGATCCAGCTTCCACCACTCAGTGCGCTTAATGAACTAGACGTTTCTAGCATTTCACAACATTAAATAAACCATAACACGGGCGGGGTTAGAACCTACGATCAGTCTCAAAGCTCCAGACTCTCTGATCGCGGGTTCTAACCCCACCCGTGGTATGGTTTGCAATCGTGTGATTACGACTTCGTGATTCATAAAATTTAATAATAGTCATAGTAGTTGTAGTAGTAGTAGTAGTAGTAGTAGTAGTAATAATAATAATAATAATAATAATAATAATAATAATAATAATAATAATAATAATAGGTATTTCTCTCGGTGCGCGATCCGAAAAAGTTATCACTGAATTCTATAAGCTCTACCTCAATGATAAAGGAATATTGGAGGTTGGTCATTAAATTTCTGTACAACAAAATATAAAAATATGTATATGTATATGTTTAAGTTTGTGTGTACGAATTTCTTTACGTACGTGTACTTTCATATGTATACAGAACATGTGTGCATGTTTTGTGTGCGTATGTATGCATATATTTGTTTATTTACATATGTAATATGTATGAGTACATGTAAGTATATATTCATGTGTATATGTATGTGTATGTATATGAGATGATCTATTTATGCACATGGATACGTTTACATGTACATACACGTTTGGTTAGTTACATGTATTTATGTATGTATTGTTTGTAGAGATGATTTTTTTTAATATACGCAAGTTTATGTATACATATATAACATGTATGTATGTGTCCATAACTACCAACACCATCATTACTACCAATACCACCATTACTACCAACATCACCGTTACTATCAACACCACCATTAATACCAACACCACCAGTACTACCAACACCACCGTTACTACTAATACCACCGTTACTATCAACACCACCATTAATACCAACACCACCAGTACTACCAACACCACCGTTACTACCAATACCACCGTTACTATCAACACCACCATTAATACCAACACCACCAGTACTACCAACACTACCGTTACTACCAACATCACCGTTACTATCAACACCACCATTAATACCAACTCCACCAGTACTACCAACACTACCGTTACTTCCAACATCACCGTTACTATCAACACCACCATTAATACCAACACCACCGTTACTACCAACACCGCCGTTACTATCAACACCACCATTACTACCATCATCTCCGTTACTATCAACACCACCGTTACTGCACCACCATTACCATTACTACCACCATTAACACCACCACCACCATCTCCCCTCAGTGGTAGCTCACTCAGCTCCCAGTCAAGTGAACATGGATCAACTCCTGTTTTGTTTTTTTCAAGGGCAAACCTTTTCAGCAAGTCTCTTACACCTGCTGCCCTTTTCACCCAGCAGTAAACAAGAAAAATAACTTAAAACAAAGACTCCAAATGAAATAAGTTGCAGTGCTTGGTATACATAAGATATTCTGGGATATCCATCAGGGTTATTAATCAGATTAGTCTTCTACTTTTATTTTCTATATGGGATCACATGATGCCATCGCCCGGCAGTGTACGCCTGCAATATTCTATATGAGTTAAATGATGGGAACACCCACAGTTTGCTGGTTACCTGTTCTGTATCATAATTAAATGGTGGTAATACACGCAGTTTGTTTCAACTGTTTATTTATCGTACCATTTAATTTGCCATTGAGTTTGATTATTTTCGCCGTTGTCACACTAGTTATCATCACCGTTGTCATACTGTTTGATTATCCTTGTTGTTGTCATATTATTTTTCGTTGTCATAATGCTGTCTTTGTCACTGTCATACTGTTTGATTATCCTCGTTGTTGTCATACTGTTTTTCATTGTCATACTGTTATCATTGTCACTGTCATAGAATTTCATTAACTTTCTCATTGTCTTTCAGTTATCATTGTTTGATTATCTTTGATACTGTCATACTATTTAATTATCCTTCTCATTGTCTTTCTGTTATCTTTGACACTGTCATACTGTTATCTTTGACATTGTCATACTGTTACCTTTGTCATTGTCTTGAGGTTTTATTTGTCATTGTCTTACTGCTATCTTTGTCATTGTCATAGGGTTTGGTAATCTCTGACATTGTCGTACTGACAGACTATCTTCGTTACTTTCATCACACTATCTATAACACTTTTGGTATATGAGTCACCTGCACTTATTCCTGTAAAATTCATTATACTGCAGCTTTATATCTGTAGTGTAAGCACGCCTATGGCAAGACGGTGATGGCGTGAATGATGATGAAAGTTTTTCTTTCTCGAGCCACCCTGTCTTGGTGGGAATCGGCCGATGTGTTAATAAATAATAATAATAATCATAATAATAATAATAATAATAATAATAATAATAATAATAATAATAATAATAATAATGATAATAATAATAATAATAATAATAATAATAACAATAATAATAATAATAATGACAATATTATCTATTAACAAAAATGACATGGGGGTATAGAATTAAGTATTAGATGCTGTAATCTCTTAGGGAAAGAGTATTGAAACCGATGGAGAATTTATTCATTATATTAAAGAAATGGTAATAGAGGGCTGGCAGGAGGCAAACGTAACTCCTTCGTTAATGATACAAGAGACGAGAATTATAGAGGAATAAGTGCATATGAATCACATATCAAAGTTCTATAGATAGTGTGATGAAAATAACGAAGATTGACTGTCAGTATGACGATGTCAGAGATAACCAAACCCTATGACACTGACAAAGATAACAGTAAGACAATGACAAATATAACATCAAGAAAATGACAAAGATAACAGTATGACAGTGTCAAAGATAACAGTATGATAGCGTCAAAGATAACAGAAGTAAAATGAGAAAAATAACAGAAAGACAATGAGAAAGATAATCAAACAGCATGATAGTATCAAAGATAATCAAACAATGATAACTGTAATTCACTGACAAAGTTAATGGAACACTATGAGAGTGACAAAGATAACATTATGACAATGAAAAATAATATGACAACAACAAGGATAATCAAACAGTATGACAACGGTGATGATAACTAGTGTGACAACGGCGAAGATAATCAAACTCAATGACAAATTAAATGGTACGATAAATAAACAGTTGAAACAAACTGCGTGTATTACCACCATTTAATTATGATACAGAACAGGTAACCAGCAAACTGTGGGTGTTCCCATCATTTAACTCATATAGAATATTGCAGGCGTACACTGCCGGGCGATGGCATCATGTGATCCCATATAGAAAATAAAAGTAGAAGACTAATCTGATCAATAACCCTGATGGATATTCCAGAATATCTTATGTATGCCAAGCACTGCAACTTATTTCATTTGGAGTCTTTGTTTTAAGTTATTTTTCCTGTTTACTGCTGGGTGAAAAGGGCAGCAGGTGTAAAGGACTTGCTGATAGGCTTTGCCCTGGAAAAAAAAAAGAGTTGACCCAACTTCACTTGATTGGGAGTTGAGCGCGCTACCCCTGTGCTACCATTGTGCTAGCACTGGATTACCACCGTTCTACCACTACGCTACAACTACGCTACCACTGTGGTATCATTGCTCTGCCACTGCGCTACCGCCGTGTTATATCATTACAATGGTGCTGTCAGTGGTGACTGGATGACAGCAATGGTGCTGTCATCCAGTCACCACTGCTCTACCACCCTTCAACACCTGTGCTGCTGTTGCAACCATTGTGCTGTCACCACATTTCCACCTCGCTACCACCGCGCTTCCACCGTCTTGTCACTGCGAGTGTTCCCACCTCACGACACGGAAAAAGAACAGCGTAGTTGCACACAACACTGGTAATATATTACGTAACTTTAATAGGTAAGACACATGTGCAACAGTTGACTGCCTTTATTGCGGAAATATTTCACCTGTACTGCAGGATTCTTTACCTACATTCAGAGGCGAGTAAATATTAAGGCAACAGAACCACTGGAGAAGAAAAGATGAGGTGGACAGTCGCTCCATCAGTTGGTCGATCACACTGAGCGAGGCTATGGAACTGAGCGCTTCTCAAGGCAGAGGACTGACCACCTTAAAATTACTTTCTTAAAAGTTGAAGGACTGATCACCTCATCTTTATCTCTCCAGTACTTCTTGTGTCTGCAGTAATAGACATATGTGTATTTGAATGAGGAAGCCTGCACATACGAGAGGTTTTGGTAAAGATGCTCAATGTTCCACATGTCTCTAACTCATCTTTCTTTCGGTAATGTTATTTTATTAAAATATTGCATGTTTCCCACCAAGGCAGGGAGGCCCGAAAAAAAAGAAAAACTTTCATCATTCACTCCATCACTGTCTTGCCAGATGCATGCTTATAATAGTTATAAAACTGCAACATTAACGCCACTCCTTCAGAATGCAGACACTGTACTTCCGTTCTCCAGAAGACAAGTTCGGCCTGCCGGTTGCCCTGAAACCCTTCATAAATGTTATCCTGCTCACACTCCAACAGAACGACAAGTCCTAAAAAAACATTTGTTTCCACTCGCTCTTATCTAACATGCTCGTGCATGTTTGCTGGAAGTCCAAGCCACTCACACACAAAACCTCCTTTGCCCCCTCCCTCCAACCTTTCCTAGGCCGGCCGACCCCTCCCAGCCTTCCTTTGCCTACAGATTAATATACTCTCCAAGTCACTCAGTTTAGTTTCAGCAGCGCTAAATGTGTAAACCTCCTCAACAACCCTTCCTCAGCCTCTGGTAATAGTTTTAGTAGCCCCACACCTCCTCCTAATTTCCAAACTATGGATTCTCTGCATTATATTCACACCACACATTGCCCTCACACACAACATCGCCACTGGCTCAAGCCTTCTCCTTGTTGCAGCATTCACTACCCATTCTTCACACCCATATAAGAGCATTGGTACCACTTTAGTCTTCATGCATTCCCCTCTTTGCTTCCTTGGATAAAGTTCTTTGTCTCCACACACTCTTCAGTGCAATACTCACCTTTTTCCCCTCATCAGTTCTATGATTCACCTCATCTTTCATAGACCCATCTGCTGACACGTCCACTCCCAAATATCTGAATACATTCACCTCCCCCATACTCTCTCCAATCTGATATCCAATCTTTCGTTCCCCAATTTTTTTGTTATCCTCACCACCTTACTCTTTCCTAAATTCACTTTTAATTTCTCTCTTTTACATACCCTACCAAACTCACCCACCAACCTCTGCAACTTCTCTTCAGAAACTCCCAAAAGCACAGCATCATCAGCAAAAAGCAGCAGTGACAACTCCCACTTTGTGTTAGAACCTTCATCTTTTAACCCCACACCTCTTGCCAACACCCGAGCATTCATTTCTCTTACAACCCCATCTATAAATATAGTGAATAACCATGGTGACATCACATCCTTCTATAGGGCCTACTTTTACTGAGAAACAATCTCACTCTCTCATACATACTCTAACCTGAACCTCACTATCCTCGTAAAAACTCTTCACTGCTTTCAGTAACTTACTTTCAATTCCATACATTTGTTGCATCTGCCACATTACCCCCCTATCCACCCTGTCATACGCCTTTTCCTGATCCATAAATGCCACAAAAACCTCTTTCCCCTTATATAAATACTGTTCACCTATATGTTTCACTGCTATCCTGTTCTCCGTCTTACTCTTAATTCTTTCAATAATAACTCTACCATACACTTTACGAGGTGTACTCAACAGGCTTTTTCTCCTACAATTTCTACACTCTCTTTTCTGCCCTTATGCCTTTATACAAAGAACCCTTTCAGTAATGTATACCATTAATATCATGCTACATCTTTAATTAATTCTGTTTCTTATTCTCTGGCAGTTACGACTCCCGCAAACACAGTCTGGACGCCAGGAACTGGGCAGACGATAAAACCTTAGGAGGTCGAAGTCACTTCTACCTGCAGTCGTCTCCAGCTTCGCTGATCGTGGACGACGTGCGGCCGAGCGACGAGGGTCTGTACCGCTGCCGCGTCGACTTCAAGAAAAGCCCCACCAGGAACGCACGGACTAACCTCACAGTCATCAGTGAGTTGCATTCTGGTTCCTCGTAGTGTAAAAGGCAGTGCTGGGGATTCATGATTTTTCCTGATGAACGTTAAAGTGACCTGGAAACTTTGTATTATTTTTCTCAGTGAATCGATGACATATCGATATATAATTTTTTTATGAAGAGCTTATAATTCCTAAGAGAGAGAGAGAGAGAGAGAGAGAGAGAGAGAGAGAGAGAGAGAGAGAGAGAGAGAGAGAGAGAGAGAGAGAGAGAGAGAGACAGACAGACAGACAGACAGACAGACAGAGAGAGAGACAGAGAGACAGAGACAGAGAGAGTTTATAAGATGAACACACACACACACACACACACACATGATCTAGAGGTGATTGTAATGCCGAGCACATCTCCTGAGGCGCACATCAACTGCTGCAGCATATTGGTGCCAGGCAATCCTATGAATAGAGTTTTGACACCACAATAAGGAATCGTCCAAGACTCTGTACACCGTGTACGTCAAGTCAGTACTGGAGTATGCATCACCAGTATGTAACCTGCACCTGGTCAAGAATATTTAGAAATTAAAGAAGGTGCAACGGTTTTCAACAAGACTAGCCCCGGAGCTAAGGGGTATGTCCGACGAGGAGAGATTAAGGGAAATCAACTTGACGACACTGGAAGACAGGAGAGACAGGGAGAATATGATAAGGACATATAAAATACTGAGAGGAAACGACAGGGTGGACAGAGACAGGATGTTCCAGAGATGGGACACAGCCACAAGGGGTCACAGTTGGAAGTATTTCTTCACTCACAAAGTTCTCAGGAAGTGGAATAGTCTGGGAAGTGATGCAGTGGAAGCAGGATCCATACATAGCTTTAAGAAGAGGTATGATAAAGCGCATAGAGCAGGAAGAGTGACCCAGTAGCGACCAATGAAGAGGCGGGGCCAGGAGCTGTGACTCCATCCCTGCAATCACAACTAGGTGAGTACACACACTCACACACGATACACACACAAACACACATGCACGCACACACACACACACACACACACACACATACACACACACACACACACACACACACCACACACACACACACACACACACACACACAACACACACACACACACACACACACACATACACACACACACACACACGCACATACACACACACACACACACACACAACACACACACACACACGCACACACAGCACACACACACACACCACACACACACACACACACACAACACACACACACACACAACACACACAAACACACACATACACACACACACACACACACACACCACACACACAACACACACATGCAACATACACACACATCACACACACACACACACACACAACACATGCCAGACTCACACTACACTCCCCCCCCCCAACGACATTCACTCCTCACCTGACCCTCCCTCCTCTTACCCCCCCTCCCCACCCCACCCCCACCCACCCCTCTCCCACCACCCACTTGCTTCTCCGTCCTTCCCACCCCCCCCACATACTCACCCACATAGCCACAGTTCTCCTCTACCTCCCACCCACACACTGACATACACAATACTAACCTAACATACAAATTACATAGTTTACCCACTCTAGCAATCAGGATAAAACAAAAATGGTTGCCAGAGAGCAACAAGAAAAACCAAGGGACACGAGGACAACTGCACAAGGAAGATTGGGCACAGACTCACAAAGGAACATGCCCTGGAAAAGCACAGAATACTAGCATGACATGCGAGATAGACGCCACCCGTTGGAGTGCATCCAAACAGCAAGGCCGTACCCTTTCAAGAGCAACTGTAAAATCTAAACCAGCCTCCAATAACTAAACACATTGATTGACAACAGTACTGCTACTCCTCCTCACAATAGGCTGTAGGAAAAAGGAGCTAAATACGCATGTAAAGGTTCATCATCTGAGGATGTGAATAAAGACTAACAATGTTGGAGGCCAAAAACCACAAGCAGAGCAGGAAAGCCGAGAAGGGAAAATTGGCAGCCATGAGCCCAATACATTAGCAGTGAAACGAAGAAGGGAAAGAGAAATAGGAGAATTACAATGAATGGAGGGGATAACGATATCAGTGGAAAGAAGGAAGGGTGAGGTCAGTCATTGTGTAGGGTCCAGAGTTTAGAAGAGGGAAAAATTGAACAAGAAACAAGGAAAAAAGCAATTGAAACGACTGATAAGCAATAGGGATGTAGACGACAGACCCAGTGGAAAACTTTCGGAAGAATAGTGGGGTTTGTAAAAAAAGAGCAACCCGCCAGTGAAGGACCTCAAGCAGAATCGAGACCGGAAAGCAGGAATCTGCAGGCATGAAGCCAACGATTAAGGACATGCCGCACACAAGAAGAAGCATCTCGACTGCGACAGAACACAAGCAGAAAGGCAGAAACTGAGAGAGATGGTACAAAGGCAAAAGGTAGAAAGAGAGGGGATGGAGAAGACAGACAGGAGATCCCAGACACAGGAAGATCAAATACAGCCTCCCTCACAACTTCCTCTAGAAGCCTCCCAACCAGGTCAACCCCAGTGCAACCAAACACTCTAAACCAAAACACCCATGCCACATCCAATGCCCCCACCCACTGCATTACAAACTCCACTCCCACAGCAACCACCCATAGTTCCTTATCAGGTCTCCCACTTCCCCAACCCCAATACACCTACCAGACCACAATCTTAGAAAAGAAGTTGAAGGTGTGGTATACAAATGCAGATGGAATAACAAATAATTATGAGGAGTGGCACAAAAGAATCAAGGAGACATCCCCAGGCATAATAGCATTCACAGAAACAAAACTCACCAGAATAATAACAGATTCAATCTTTCCATCCGGATATCAAATCCTCAGGAAAGACAGAGGGAGGAGAGGGGGAGGAGAAGTTGCACTGCTCATTAAAAACCAGTGGGGGTTTGAGAAAATGGAAGGAATGGACCGCACGGGCGAAAGGGACTACTTAGTAGGAACAATTCAGTCTGAGGGACATAAGGTGATAATTGCAGTAAGGCCAAGAGAAGAATATGATGAGAGCAACAGAGCAATGGTTGACACACTAGCCGAGGTGGCCAGGAGAGCACACATGGGGGGAGCAAAGTTACTAGTTATGGGTGATTTCAATCACAAGGAGATTGACTGGGAAAACCTGGAGCCCCATGGGGGTCCCGAAACATGGAGAGCCAAGATGATGGATGTGGTACTGGAAAACCTCATGCATCAACATGTTAGAGACACTACCAGAGAGAGAGGAGAGGATGAACCAGCAAGACTGGACCTTGTATTCACCTTGAGTAGTTCTGACATCGAGGATATCATGTATGAAAGGCCCCTGGGAGCTAGTGATCATGTGGTTCTGTGCTTCGACTACATAGTCTGAGCTCCAAGTGGAGAGAGCAGCAGGAATAGGGTGGGAAAAACCAAACTACAAAAGGGGGAACTACTCAGGCTTGAGGAACTTCTTTCAAGACATTCAGTGGGAGAGGGAACTGACAGGAAAACCAGTATAAGAAATGATGGACTACGTCGCAACAAAATGCAAGGAGGCAGAAGAGAGGTTTGTTCCCAAGGGAAACAGAAATAATGGGAAGAACAGAACGAGTCCTTGGTTCACCCAAAGGTGTAGGGAGGCAAAAACTAGGTGTACTAGAGAATGGAAAAGGTACAGAAGACAGAGAACTCAGGAAAATAAAGAGATTAGCTGAAGAGCCAGAAACGATTATGCAAAGATAAGAAGGGAGGCTACAGTGGCAATACGAAAATGACATAGCATCGAAAGTCAAGACTGGCCCGAAGCTGTTGTACAGCCACATCAGGAGGAAAACAACAGTCAAGAACCAGGTAATCAGACTGAGGAAGGGTGATGGGGAATTCACAAGAAACGACCAGGGAGGTATGTCAGGAGCTCAACACGAGAATTAAAGAAGTATTTACAGTGGAAACCAGTAGGACTCCAGGAAATGAGAACAGGGGGTGCACCAGCAAGTGCTGGATGAGGTACATATAACCAAGGAGGAGGTGAAGAAGCTGCTATGCGAACTTGACACCTCGAAAGGCAGTGGGACCAGACAACATCTCTCCATGGGTCCTTAAAGAGGGAGCAGAGATATTGTGTGTACCATTAACAAAGATCTTCAACACATCATTTGAAACTGGGCAACTCCCCGAGGTATGGAAGATGGCAAATGTAGTCCCAATTTTTAAAAAGGGAAACATGAGGCACTAAACTACAGACCTGTATCACTAACGTGTATAGTATGCAAGGTCATGGAGAAGTTCATCAGGAGGAGAGTGGTGGAGCACCTGGAAAGAAACAAATGTACAATTGACAACCAGCATGGTTTCAGGGAGGGAAAATCCTGTGTCACAAACCTACTAGAGGTTTATGACAAGGTGACAGAAGTAAGACAAGAGAGAGAGGGGTGGATCGACTGCATTTTTTTGGACTGCAAGAAGGCCTTCGACACAGTTCCTCACAAGAGGTTACTGCAAAAGCTAGAGGATCAGGCACACATAACAGGAAAGACACTGCAGTGGATCAGAGAATACCTGACAGGGAGGCAACAACGAGTCATGGTACGTGACGAGGTGTCAGAGTGGGTGCCTGTGACAAGCGGGGTTCCACAGGGGTCAGTCCTAGGACCTGTGCTGTTCTTGGTATATGTGAATGACATAACTTAAGGGATAGACTCAGAAGTGTCCTTATTTGCGGATGATGTGAAGTTAATGAGATGAGTCAAATCGGATGAGGATCAGGCAGGACTACAAAGAGACCTGGACAGGCTACAAGCCTGGTCCAGCAACTGGCTCCTTGAGTTTAACCCTGCCAAATGCAAAGTCATAAAGATTGGGGAAGGGCAAAGAAGACCGCAGACACAATATAGTTTAGATGGCCAAAGACTGCAAACCTCACTCAAGGAAAAAGATCTGGGGGTGAGTATAACACCGAGCATATCTCCTGAGGCGCACATCAGTCAGATAACTGCTGCAGCATACGGGCGCCTGGCAAACCTACGGATAGCGTTCC